GCATGTCGCGTCTGTACCCTTAAGGCTTAGATGCGTGTGGTGCCTGTGTCTCTAGAGATGAGATGCGTGACGTGCCTATGTCTCTAAGGTTTAGTGCGCGTCGTGCCTGTGTCTCTCAGGTTGAAATGCGCGTCGTGTCTGTGTATCTAAGGTTTGAGTGTGTGTGTGAGGGCTGTGCCTCAATTTTCTCAGTACGCGTCAGGAGTGTGTCTCTGAGGCTCTAATGCGAAACACGATTGTGTCTCTAAGGTTCAAGTGTATGTGTGTGTGTGTGCATCAAGGTTTCCCCTCTCACTGCCAGCCATCTGGCTGCGTTGCCACCTCCTTCCCCCGCGCTTCCCTCCCGTTGCGTTGCTGTTCCGCCCCGCCGCCTGCGGGCACTGAGATGCTTCGCCCGCCGCCTCCCGCCCCGCCTCTCCCAGCCCTGGGCGGTCACGCCGCAGTACCCCTGTCACTGCCAGCCATCTGGCCGCTGCTCCTGCCTCCGTGCGGCTCAGTGCTGTGCAATTCCTCGGCGCGCCGAGGTACGCCGTTAGTGGTGTCCCACTGCGCCCGCCCGCCAGCTCCAGCCGCTGGCTGCCGCCCTCCTGCCACCCGTGCCACCATGGTTCGCCACGGCTGCCCACCGCGCTCTGGCCCTGCGCGCCTGGCTGCTGCTGCCCCCCTCGGCTGCTGATCGTCGGACTCTTCGACGTCTGATCGTCCCTTCTTCCTCTCGGCCGTTCCCCCCCCCTCCTCTTTGGCCGGCGGCCAATTCGCAAATCAGTGCCCCTTTCTAGCTTCTCGCTGGAGCGGAGTTCGCCGCCTCGCCGTTGACGAGAAACATGTAGGTGTGTATGTGTCAATGCTGCGTCTCTACAGTTTAAGAGCGTGTCGGACTTGTGCCTATCAGGTTGAAGTGTGTGTGTGTGTGTGTGTGTCATGATTATGTCTCTAAGCTTGACGTGCGTGTCGTGCCTGCGCTGCTGAGATTTAAGTGCGCGTCGCGCCTGTGCTTGTCAAGATTAAATGCGCGTCGCACTTGTGTCTCTACTGTTTAGGTGCGTGTCAGGATGGTGTCTCTATGGTTGAAGTGGGCATCGTGCCTGTATCTCTGACGTTTAAGCGCGCGTCGTGCCTGTGCCTCTTAGATTTCGATGCGCGTCGCGCCGGTGTCCCAAGTTTGAAGTGAATGTCAGGTTTATGCTTCTAAGGTTTAATATCAGTGCGTCCAGGATTGCGTCTTTAAGCTTGAAGTGCGTATCACGGTTAGTTATATAAGGTTTAAGTGTATGCGTGTGTGTGCAAGTGCGTGCCAGTGTTGTGTTTGTGCCGGGCGTGTGTCTTAATTGTGTGTGTGTGTGGGTGTGTGCGTGCGCGTGTGTCATTCAGGTCGAAGTGAATGTCCGGATTGTGTCAGTGAGGCTTGAGGGCGTGTCAAGATTGTATATGCGAGGCTTACGTGCGCATGAGGCTCTCAGAAAGAGCGGGAAGAAGAAACATCAGGAAACTTTGCTCCGTTGAAAGCTTGTAAGGGTCCAGAAAACTAACCGATTCAGCGTTGGCCCGTCTTCACACGGAGAACCATCCGATTTCCTGGGGAGACGGCCCTTTTCCCGGAGAACCTTTTTCTCTACCCCCCCTTTCCCCGTATCGCACGGTGCGGGCGGAGAGGGCCGCCGTTGGGGCCGAGGGCGCGGCGCCGTCCGCCTGCGGGCGCGGGCGTCGGACCGGATCGATGCCGCGAGCGGAACGATTTTGATGAGACCGTCAGCAGCAGCAGCAGCAGCAACAGCAGCAGCAGCAGCAGCAGCAGCAGCAGCAGCAGCAGCAGCAGCAGCGGTGTCGCGGGCCGCCTGGGAAGGGCAGGCTCGCACGGTGACGAGGCTGTGACGGCGCCCCCGGTGGTTTCACCATCCCGTCGCTTCGCGGCCGCCCGGCCTAGGAGGGGAGAGCAGCGGTGTGGTGGGCGGTGGGTGGGGCGCGTGAGTCTCCTTCTCCTCCTCCTCCTCCTCCTCCTCCTCCATCCTCCTCCTCTTGCGTCTCCATCTCCCTCGCTCCTCCCCTCCTCCTCGCTACTCCTCCTCCTCCTCCTCCTCCTCCTCCTTCCTCCTCCTACCTCCTCCTCCTTATCTCCTCCTCCCCCTCCCCCTCCTCCTCCTCCTCCTCCTCCTCCTCCTCTCCCCCCTCCTCCTCCCCCTCCTCCTCCCCCTCCTCCTTGTTCTCCTCCCTCCTCCTCTCCGAAGCTCGAATTTCTGGACAGTGGCACCACGAATGGTCGAAGCCCTCGTCCTCCTCCTCCTCCTCCTCCTTCTCCTCCTCTGCCTCCGGGGAGGAGGAGGGCATGGTGCCCGCGCGCGGGCGGCACGGGCCCCCGCGCGCGGGCGCCACGGCCTCGCGGGCCTTCGATTGGGCGCCCGGCGTGCCTGGCAGGGAGGTGTCGGGATGCTGCTGCTGCTGCTGCTCACGACGAGGATGATGATGATGATGATGAGGATGAGGATGAGGAGGAGGATGAGGA